AAAGTGACAAACACAAAGGTCATAATAATAGACTGAATAATACTCAAAAAATCTTCTATAAGGTAGTAATAATAGTAATAATAATATCAGAATGGGTTTTGTAGAGATTTTTAGAAATTTCACAGGTTGAAATCATGAGTCAATTGAAGCTACATCACCATGGAAAACCTGGAAGCATTGGACGGCCGTTACGTCCTAGTATGGGACCCCTCAGCAGTACGTATCCACGATCCCGCACCCCGCGGGATTCGAACCCAGGACCAACTAGTTCCACGCGCGAGCACTTAACCAGGTCTGTTGTGAGATAGGAACTCATTGAAGACAATGGTGTATGGTGACGCAACTTCGTGGATTGGTTGAGGTTAGACATTAACACCGTTGGATGCCGGCTCAGTGGTCTAATGGTCAAGCTTTCGCAGGCGAGATTGATAGGTCCGATGTTCGGATCTTGCGGGGTGCGGGATCCTGGATGTGCACTGCCAAGGAGGAGTCCCATACTACGACGAAACGGCCATTCACTGCTTCCAGGTTTTCCATATTGGTCTAGCTTCAATTGACTCATGATTTCAACCAGTTAAATAATAATAACTTATTAGAGTTTAAAATGCAAAATAGTAATTTCAGAAATTCGATAATAATCAAATAAAAGTGCAGAAAAAAAAACAGAAACATACCCATTAAGGGAATTAGGGCCAAGGAAGGATGAGAGGTTGGACAAATCGTTTCTGCATGGAAAGTTCAGGCTTGAGTTCGTGAATTGCCAATGCCTCAGCAGTACATAAAATATTGATTCGAACCCCCTTCGATCCAGTTCCTTTGATTCTGTAAACTATCTCAAATGAAGAGTCTTTTGGAGCGATATGTCCACAGTTGATTAAGTGCTCCTGTATCGAACTCGTGATTGTTTTTCGTTCCCCTTTCAAGAGCCAGGCCGGATAGTGTTCTGTGATGCGTTTGGTAAGTGATTGCTTTGTTCGGCTTATATAATGATATTTTAATGATATTTGTTTGTTTGTTTTCATTTCTGTTTGATTAGATTATTTAACATAAAGATGGTGACACATTTTTAATGGAGATTATAGAAAGTTTACACTTATAGTATATGTATTTGATAAATAAGAAACTTAAGATTGTTTATCAACTATTGTTATGTATCTAATGTATATATGTCTTTTACTTAGTGATTCTTTGTTCAGTTTGTAATCAATTCTGTTTGACTCTTTCTTTCTCTTCCTCCCTCTCTCTCCCTCCCTCTCTCTAAGTTCTCTCTTATTCATGAACCAAATTCATTATTTTCCACTTCCTGTAGAATGAATTTTTTATTCTTATCCATGAGTGAACTTTTCGCCTACAAATCACACTGATCAATTATTGTTTTATTTGTTTATTTGTTTATTTATATTATTCAGTATTCTTTTTTTCTTTTTGTTAGTTATATCCATTTTATGTTCTTTTTGTTCAACTCCTTCCCCTCTCTCTCTCTCTCTCATTCCCATATAAACAAACACACACACACACACACATAAATATATATACTTCCTGATTACTATAGAACAAGAAGAACACCGTATTCAATCTATTGATTTCTATATGGATTATAATGATATTAAGCTGTTGTGTAGTATAACTATCCCTAATAATAATAATAATAATAATAATAATAATAATAATAATAATAATAATAATAATAATAATAATAATAATAATAGAGTATTAATTTATTTTAACAGTTCAGTTCATGAGTCTATGTAAGCTAATAAGATTACTATAATCTCTACAACCACTCCATTCTGATCATAATCATCATCTGCTTAATAGTGAGTGGCTTCAAGATGGATTTCCTGGAGTTCTATTATGAAGCTGTGATCAGTGGATTATAATCTGTGTTGGGTAAAGATAGGTATCTATTTTATACAATAGATGAATGGTTGCACAATATTATGAATCGATTGAAGTTAAACATTATAACATCATTGGATACCGATTCAATTGTCAAGAGGTTAAGCGTTCAAGTGCAAGACCGGAGATCTTAGATTCGAATCCAACATTGTGGGATCGTGGATGTAGTAGGACGAAACGATTTACTTTTCAAGTTTTATTTTGTTTTAAAATAAATAATGCTTAACATATTGAATTTTGAATGAAAGGACGAGAAAAGCGTTTTAAATACATTGAATTAATAAAGGAATAATTTACGAGGGGTAAAAAGAGTAAAGGAGAATTAATACAAACAAGTCATTGTAACAGTTTCATGATAAAAGAATATGTATTTCAGTATGTACTTTAGGCGGTTAACCTAACAATGTACTAGGTTAATCTATCATTTGGACATTTTAATCGTAATGTAAATAATTATTCATCAGGTAAGCCGCCAAATGCTCTGGTACGGCTGAGGGTGGGGAAAGTCAGTTCTCTCTCTCCAAATGTTCTCATATGGTCACACGTCTGGAGCCACTGTCAGGGAAGTCCTACTCACTGCATTCTCGTGGCATTACTGTTGTTTACTAAATCAAATGGACGAAAAGCGAATATTCGCTGCTTTAACCGGGTTGATGGATATGGAGGATTCACTTAGACGAGTTGGAAAATCCTGATTCCAAACCAATGATACACGTGAGCTCCAGTATCCTGAAAGAACAAATGACATATGAACCAATTATTAGTCATCGGCTACCATGGGACCGCATGTTCTGACTTTGCTTCACTGCCTTGTGGATTACACCTTTAGGTAGAAGGCTCCGGTTAAGGTGTCTTAACAAGAACAACCGCTTTCAGTTTGAACACCCGGGCGATATCATAGCCTATACACATATCAAGTGACTTGTGTAGCGTCTATCCATTCGGTGACCATTTGTATCAGTATTTATGTGTTCAAATAATAAGATAATTATTTTATATTATGAATAATTAAAAAGTTTTATTATTATTTAACTATTCAGTACTGATGGTCTTCAATGACTGAAATAGAAGAGGCTGTTGTAATCTTATAATCTACTGATTATTATTAGTTTCGATCTGTACTATAGAACATTTATAGATAAGACGTGATATATTGATGAATCCAGATGTTTTGGAAAATATAAAGTTAATTAGATTGAAAGGTGTATTAGAATCAGTCTTAGCATAAATGATTTGTTATTGTTGTTTATATGTCTTTGAATAAGTTTAATTAAATGTTTCAAATTGCTTTATGCTCACTGAATATGATGTGAATTATTTACTTACTTACTTGCTTTCTTACTGCTGTTACCCCTTATGGAGGAGTAATGGACGCCCATCAGCTTTCTCCACTGAACTCTTTCTTGAAGAATCCCTTCCAGTTGTTTCCAGTTGCTATTCAAACTTTTAATGTTTGCTTTTAATTCCCGGTGCCTGTAGCTCTTTCAGGATTACTAGCGGTCCCGACTTCGGATAAGAGAGGAGGAGGGTTGGGCATAGGGTTAGAAGTTCCATCCCTTCGAAAACAACTTTGCTAAGAAAAACACTAACAAGAATGTGATGCGAATGATCTTTATATCAATTAGGAAGTTGGTGACGATAATCTTAGTTTGTCGATGGTCTTAGTTATCAGACAACACAAACTGAAAACTGTAAAGTAATGAGCAACTGTTCTATCACGAAATTAATCTTATTAAATAGGACAAGACCACGACCCATTTAGGAATTGAATCCTTAACTTTGTAGACATAACAAACAAACCGCTTAGTTAAAATCCAATGATTTTTACTTCCAGCTTTGATTATTTCGAAACGGTACCATTTTTTTTAAGGATTTCCTAGTTTATGTTAGTCCCTGATTAAAATCAATCTATAAGCACCTATAATTCAAAACGGTACTATTTTCTTTAACTAGAATGATTTACCGATTTTACTATTGATTTCGTAAATGGTTGTCCTTTTAATCATATATCTTCCCATTGTTATTTAGGATTATAATTGATCAGTTTGGTATGAGCATATATACATACTGTGCGAATTGCCTTGATATTGTCTTATGTTACAAGCATTATAATCAAAGATGGATAGTGGCTAGCAGTCGAAAACAGGATGCGCGTTTCGTCCTGTTTGATACTCAGCAGTTGAATGTACCTGCATCATAGAGTTGATGTACACTCAGGGACTTGAACCCAGTACCGTTCTCTTCAAATGCCAAAGTGAACATGAGCTATATGATGCAGGTACATCCAACTGACAAGTCCCAAATAGGACAAAATGCGCATCCTGGTTTCCACTACTAACCACTATCCATCTTTACTTAGAAGATATCAATATTATGATCACCGATTCCCAGGTGATCCATAGTGTAAGTATATATCTCATAGTGATTACATTATAGATAATTAAATACATTTTCATTAACAAATAAAAGTGGAACAATAAATCAATATTTACATTGTGTCTATTCATCTATCAATCTGCCTATCTATCCACCGTTATATCTATTTAATAACACATAACTATTAAAATTGATTACACTATAAAATATATTCAGTAACTAATAATAAATAATTATCTATCATTCTCAAGTTATCTTTCAATTGATTTTATTGAGTGCTTTTATGGTGTGCGCTACTTATTTTGACATAAGTAGTATATGATGTTAGTCGTGAACAGAAGGTCTGGCAGCAGACAAACAACAGGATCGAACAGTAAAGAATGGAATCAAGATACAATTTGTATGGAAATGCAAGAACACTGAAATCTGAGTCATTTTGAGACAATTGGTGGACATTTTGCAAATTAGGCATTTACTTTATGATTGTTAGATTTTATGAATAATTCTTGTAATTTTGTGTCATATACATTCGATTGTCCCCACCTGTGTTCTGTTCAGTGCAGTAGTATTATCGTAACTGACCTCATCTAGGATTTCATACTAAATGGAAAGTACTACTACTACTACTACTACTACTACTAGTAATAATAATAAAACGTTATTGATTAACAATGGTCTTTAATTTGTCTACATGACCATGACCTTTTATTCTTTTTATTTGGTACCTGTTTCTGTCATCTAGATATTTCAACAAATTGTCTGTTTTTTTGTTTGTTTCAACAGATTATTATGGTAATTAATTGCATAACCTATTCAGGTGTGTTTATGAAACGTTTACGACAGATCGCTGTACAGAAGAGCCCAATCAGAGATATCGTGATGACTGGCAATATGCATCGAAAAGAAAATATACATTAATCAGATGTCGATTGATTGGACTGCTAACAACTAACTGGCGAGCGCTTAGGTTCGATCAAGAAATAAGAAACGAAAACTCGCTGAAACACTTTATGTTGAGAGTTCTAATATTGTATCGAAATTATGATAATAGCAGTAGTAGTAGTAGTAGTAGTAGTAGTAGTAGTAGTAGTAGTAGTAGTAGTAGTAGTAGTAGTAGTAGTAGTAGTAGTAGTAGTAGTAGTAGTAGTAGTAGTAGTAGTAGTAGTAGTAGTAGTAGTAGTAGTAGTAGTAGTAGTAGTAGTAGTAGTAGTAGTAGTAGTAGTAGTAGTAGTAGTAGTAGTAGTAGTAGTAGTAGTAGTAGTAGTAGTAGTAGTAGTAGTAGTAGTAGTAGTAGTAGTAGTAGTAGTAGTAGTAGTAGTAGTAGTAGTAGTAGTAGTAGTAGTAGTAGTAGTAGTAGTAGTAGTAGTAGTAGTAGTAGTAGTAGTAGTAGTAGTAGTAGTAGTAGTAGTAGTAGTAGTAGTAGTAGTAGTAGTAGTAGTAGTAGTAGTAGTAGTAGTAGTAGTAGTAGTAGTAGTAGTAGTAGTAGTAGTAGTAGTAGTAGTAGTAGTAGTAGTAGTAGTAGTAGTAGTAGTAGTAGTAGTAGTAGTAGTAGTAGTAGTAGTAGTAGTAGTAGTAGTAGTAGTAGTAGTAGTAGTAGTAGTAGTAGTAGTAGTAGTAGTAGTAGTAGTAGTAGTAGTAGTAGTAGTAGTAGTAGTAGTAGTAGTAGTAGTAGTAGTAGTAGTAGTAGTAGTAGTAGTAGTAGTAGTAGTAGTAGTAGTAGTAGTAGTAGTAGTAGTAGTAGTAGTAGTAGTAGTAGTAGTAGTAGTAGTAGTAGTAGTAGTAGTAGTAGTAGTAGTAGTAGTAGTAGTAGTAGTAGTAGTAGTAGTAGTAGTAGTAGTAGTAGTAGTAGTAGTAGTAGTAGTAGTAGTAGTAGTAGTAGTAGTAGTAGTAGTAGTAGTAGTAGTAGTAGTAGTAGTAGTAGTAGTAGTAGTAGTAGTAGTAGTAGTAGTAGTAGTAGTAGTAGTAGTAGTAGTAGTAGTAGTAGTAGTAGTAGTAGTAGTAGTAGTAGTAGTAGTAGTAGTAGTAGTAGTAGTAGTAGTAGTAGTAGTAGTAGTAGTAGTAGTAGTAGTAGTAGTAGTAGTAGTAGTAGTAGTAGTAGTAGTAGTAGTAGTAGTAGTAGTAGTAGTAGTAGTAGTAGTAGTAGTAGTAGTAGTAGTAGTAGTAGTAGTAGTAGTAGTAGTAGTAGTAGTAGTAGTAGTAGTAGTAGTAGTAGTAGTAGTAGTAGTAGTAGTAGTAGTAGTAGTAGTAGTAGTAGTAGTAGTAGTAGTAGTAGTAGTAGTAGTAGTAGTAGTAGTAGTAGTAGTAGTAGTAGTAGTAGTAGTAGTAGTAGTAGTAGTAGTAGTAGTAGTAGTAGTAGTAGTAGTAGTAGTAGTAGTAGTAGTAGTAGTAGTAGTAGTAGTAGTAGTAGTAGTAGTAGTAGTAGTAGTAGTAGTAGTAGTAGTAGTAGTAGTAGTAGTAGTAGTAGTAGTAGTAGTAGTAGTAGTAGTAGTAGTAGTAGTAGTAGTAGTAGTAGTAGTAGTAGTAGTAGTAGTAGTAGTAGTAGTAGTAGTAGTAGTAGTAGTAGTAGTAGTAGTAGTAGTAGTAGTAGTAGTAGTAGTAGTAGTAGTAGTAGTAGTAGTAGTAGTAGTAGTAGTAGTAGTAGTAGTAGTAGTAGTAGTAGTAGTAGTAGTAGTAGTAGTAGTAGTAGTAGTAGTAGTAGTAGTAGTAGTAGTAGTAGTAGTAGTAGTAGTAGTAGTAGTAGTAGTAGTAGTAGTAGTAGTAGTAGTAGTAGTAGTAGTAGTAGTAGTAGTAGTAGTAGTAGTAGTAGTAGTAGTAGTAGTAGTAGTAGTAGTAGTAGTAGTAGTAGTAGTAGTAGTAGTAGTAGTAGTAGTAGTAGTAGTAGTAGTAGTAGTAGTAGTAGTAGTAGTAGTAGTAGTAGTAGTAGTAGTAGTAGTAGTAGTAGTAGTAGTAGTAGTAGTAGTAGTAGTAGTAGTAGTAGTAGTAGTAGTAGTAGTAGTAGTAGTAGTAGTAGTAGTAGTAGTAGTAGTAGTAGTAGTAGTAGTAGTAGTAGTAGTAGTAGTAGTAGTAGTAGTAGTAGTAGTAGTAGTAGTAGTAGTAGTAGTAGTAGTAGTAGTAGTAGTAGTAGTAGTAGTAGTAGTAGTAGTAGTAGTAGTAGTAGTAGTAGTAGTAGTAGTAGTAGTAGTAGTAGTAGTAGTAGTAGTAGTAGTAGTAGTAGTAGTAGTAGTAGTAGTAGTAGTAGTAGTAGTAGTAGTAGTAGTAGTAGTAGTAGTAGTAGTAGTAGTAGTAGTAGTAGTGAATAAGATAGGTTTAATTAATGAAACTATAGTGGGGATATTATTATCAAAATATGTTTAGATTTCAATTATTATCTAAATAAAGAAAAATACTAATTAGCCCATTAGGAGGTTTGTAAGAAAGTTAACAATAATCAATTCATGATAAAATTAATCAAGTTGTTACGATAGATACAATGAATCTGATTACAGTATATGTGAGATATTCAATATTGAAAGAATTAAGGCAATATGTTTCCATATTTGTAGACTTCTCGTTCTCTTAAAAACATTGTTTACCTTTGTTTGGATGATCTATTAATAGTATTGATTTTATTATAGTTGCCAAGTGATTGTTATTGATTTTATTAATTACATCTTATTATTATACTAGTATAACTAAGTAACTTAGATTGATTTATATTGATGCTAAGTTCTATATTGATTATGAACAAATGAATTGCTTTTATAAGCAAAGATGGATAGTGGCTAGAAGTGGAATTCCTATTTGGGACTCGTCAGCTGGGTGTACCTCCATCTCAGAGTTGATGTTTACTCTGGGACTTGAACATAGTACCAGACTGATCAATTGTAGTCTTAAAACTCAATGGGAAGATACAAGCAAAACAATACCAAGTGAATTGAATTGTTTATTTAAATGTTATATTGATATCAATATTATTTCAGTAGTATATTTATATGATAAGTGATTTTATACATCAATCACATATAAGATAATCATGAATGTTTTGGACTTAGGTTTCATTGCATGATTTAATTACTATTCGGCAATAATTATATATACATATAATTATTGTTATTTATCTTTGTTGATGAACATTACTCTTTAATGACCATAACTTCTTATTCTTTTATTTAGTACGTTCAGTTCTTTTTTTCTAGTTTACTATTCTGAAAGTGTACTGAAAAGATATTGAATCTACTCGTGTAATGATTAACGAATAGTTAATTTAAATCATTCAATGAAACCAAAGTCCAATATGGTCATGATTGTTTGATTGTTTTTTTTCCTACATGAGTACACAAACTACTGAATAAAATCAATTGAAAGATAATTTAAAAGTGATAGATCATTATTAATATTCACTCTGGGACTCGAACTCAGTATCATTCTCTTCATACACCAAACTGAACATCAACTCTAGGATTCAGATACATTCAATTGAATGAATATGTTTCATAATGTTAACAATATTATATAATTGTGTATTGTATATCAATCATCCCTCTAATGACTGAACTTTGAATAGAAACATACCATAATTAAACATTGATATATGAGTTCATTTATTTAGTTATTGTCGGTTTTTTCTCACATACAGTTTACTATATAAATATTCATTATGTTCTATGATGTTTCAATATTGACTTGTTATGATTTTAATTACACTATTCATTATATCCTTCTCTGTTATGAATTGTATACATTTAAATAGTAATAATAATAATAATGAGTATCACTTTATTCCTGATGATAAATATGTTGGTGATAATTATAGTAAGTTTGAAGTTATCGACCTTTTATTTATTTGTATCAGAACAAGGTTCTTGTGGATATTATAGTCGTATTGTCTTAGTATGGGATTCTTAAACAGTGCGCATCCACGATCCTATCTCGCGAGATTCGAAACCCAGATGCTCATGTGATCACTAATGATTGGTTTCAACAGGCATTTCCTGGAGTTCTAGTGAGAAGCAGTGACCAGTTGAGTTCAACCGGGTCAGTTGTGAGATAGTAACTCACTGATGACAATGGTGAATGTGTCGCTCAATTTCATGAATTAGTTGAAGTTAAACACTAACACCATTGGATGTCGGCCGGCTTAGTGGTCTATAGGTTAAGCGTTCGTGCTCACGAGACCGATATGTCCTAGGTTCGAATCTCATGAAGTGGGATCGTAATGTTCACTGTTGAGGAGTTCCACAATAGGACGAAACGGCCATCCACTGCTTTCAGGTTTTGAATGATGGTCTAGCGTCAATTCACTCATGATCTCAACTAGTGAAATTTTTCTATGGTTGATCGATTTACAATCTCTTTTGCTTTCTCTGTCCCTACATTCAAATAGGATGATTGAGGGAAATTATTACAAATATGATTTACTGATAAACTGAATTAACAAATGCATGTCAAATATAAATATAAAATTTATGTTTATATGGTCCATTTAAAGTATAAAATTCATTGTATAACGGAATGTTTATTGTTCAATATTCTTGTAAAACCACGAAAAATAATTGTTTATTGCGATTATTTCAATAAAAAAGCAGTGTGTACTACTTATAACGACATAAATAGCATATAACACTAGTCATAAATAGAATATCTGACAGTAGAACATTGATAAGGTCGATGAGGAAAGAATGGTAACAGAAAGCAATTAGTATTTTCCAAATGAAGTATTCACTGTATGATCCTCAGATTTTACTAAGATGCTCTGTAATTTTGTGCTCAAGTACATTCGATTGACCCCCCACTTTGTTCTTGTTCACTACACAAAAATATTTCAGGCTAAGAATAGTTTAAGTTCAAAGAGCATTGATCTATGTCATATTAAAGATATTCACTACTAAGACATTTAATAGTTTTTCTTACAATAATTATCAATGGTGAAAGCGTCTTGGATTTTAAATACAGTTTCAGTTTGACCATACATTTTTTTGATTATTTACAAAGATCATTTCAGATATAATCTATCTTTTGATTTCGTCAACTATCAGTATGTAGTGTCGAGTATTATGTTAAGCCTATATACCTTATTCTAGCTTTCGGACAGCCCATTCTATTCATTCTACTTTCCAAGCTCCCAACTTTGGGGAAATGACACTAAAACCCCTAAATTTTCCCAAAGTTTACTATAGCGACTTCCCCAAAAATTTCCCAAAATTGGGATGCTTGGGTTGAGTCACATTCTGGCCTTGTTAATTATTCGCTTATCAATCTTGACTATTTTTATATGAGTGTGTAGGTGTGTATACACCTCCTATCCCATTACTCATCACATGTCTGTAACTTACTTTTGTGTAACTATAATTATTGATTGACGCCTGACTAAAGGGGAGTTGGCTTACCCGCCATCTCCACCGCGCGTCGTTTCTCTTCTCTCTACTCCATTCACTTCATATACAAAGTATAAGTATTCAAAAATCCATCCTCGTTATTTTTCTTATCTAAATCCGTTATTGACTAACGTGATTTAAGTCGATGATTATATACGAGGATAGGTGACATATATATTCCAATAACAATCAATCATTACGATCTCCTTGGAGTCAGAATTCGGTCCACTAAATTGGAGAGCCCTTTCGACAACATCGTCCGATTTAAATGACAACAAAAGTAAAGGGCCCCACAAGTAGACTTTTGTATCAATGTTTATCAACATAATATTTTAATAAAATCTGTTTTGTTTCTATGATTCAATTTCATTACTTGTTTATAATAGAAGCTATTAGAATTCGAGTTAACACATTAAGTGTTTGGTATTCATAGGAAACTTTTAACAGTCTGATCTCTTCTCTTTTGTCAAATAAAGCTTAGTCAACGATTATTATTTGCTATTTCCCATACTGTTTGTTTGTTTATGCTTTTACCTTTCTTCCCTTCTCTTTCTAATTATATGAATACGTCTTATTTTGTAATCTTAATTATATTTAATGAAAGTTATTTCATTGTATATCATTTCAAGTCATTGACCTACTTTCTATTATGAAACATTAATTTAAACTTTTATAGTTCTTATAAGAACTAGTGCATCGGTCATTGAACTATCACTTTGTACATTTTACTTAATTAGTTCTTCTATGTGATCTATTTCTTTGTTATCGCTGACTCGTAAAGTGATTTGATTATTTTAATTGTCGAATTCATCAGTCACTTTAAACTAGACAATTGTTGAAAACCTAGAAAGTCCTAGACAATTATTTCGTCCTAGTGTAGGACTCCGTGTCAGGTAGAGACAAGTATCTACCTCACACAGTGGAAGATGGTCGCGTAATTTCGTGGATTGGTTAGAGTTAGATATTAACACCATTGGATATCAGCTTAGTAGTCTATATGTTAGGCGTTCACGCGTGAGACAGAAGGTCATGGGTTCGAATACCACATGTGGGATCGTGGATGCGCACTGTTGAGGAGTCCCATAATAGAACGAAACGATCGTCCAGTGTTTCTAAGTTTTCTATGATGGTTTAATATTGATCGATTCATGGTCTTAATCAAAAACTCAACAATATCCACAACCTCATACTGATGATGAACATTTATTTATTGTACTGATTAACCCTGAGACTTGACTGCCGTCAAAGTTTTTGCTGAAGCTTCAGCCGCCAGTTGATATAAATAACTGCAGCAATAGTTAGTTTTTATTTATATGATGCAACTGAACTAATATTAAATCGAGATAAAACAGTTAAATATCATTCAACTTACTCCTATGATTTTTGGATAAAACCATCCTTCTATTTTATAACTCATTCATCATAATATTAAACCAATAAACAGAAATCAAATCGAATTCATTTGGCATCGTTTGTTTGAATGTCCCCATTGATGTTTAGGACTGAAACTGATCAGCCCCTTGTTAGCATATGTACATCTTGATCGGACTGCCTCGATATTGCCTTGAGCCATTGGTACTATAAGCACAGATGGATGATGGCTAGCAGTGGAATCCGGAATTCGCGTTTCGTCCCGTCTGGAATTTGTCAGCTAAATGAATCCCAGAGTTCATGTTCATTACGGGACTGATAGCAATATCAAGGCGATCCGCTTAGGATGTACATGTACCAATGATAGACTGATCAACTGCAGTCCTTAACATCAATGGGAACTTTCAAACAAGCAATACAAATTAAATTTAAACTTCACCTCATTGCACAAGCTAGTGGCTATCAGGGCTCAGTAGTTAAATAGATAATGCGTTTGAAACGAACGGTACTGGGTACGAGTTATGGAGTTCATATCAAGTCTGTGATGCAAGCATATCCAACTGATGAGTCCCAAATAGGATAAAACGCGCTTCCTAGATTCCTCTGTTAACCACCGTACATATATGTTTAGAAATTCACTTGTTTACAGCTTATCTAAATCTTTATCTGTTAAGTTAGTATAATTCTCAGAAGGGGTTTTGTGGAGATTTTAGTAATTTCAATAGTTGAAATCATAAGTAAATTTAAGCTAGACCACCATGAAAAACCTGAATGCACTGGACGGCCGTTTCGTCCTAGTATGGGACTCCTCATCAATGCGCATCCACGATCACGCTCCCCGCGAAATTCGAACCCAGGTCCTACCAATCTCGCGCGTGAGCTCTTAACCAACAGCCTTCCAGTGATTCCAGGTTTTCTATGGTGGTCTAGCTCCAATTGACTCATGATTTCAACGAATGAAATAGTATAATTCTTTTTCATTGAGTATGCACTATCCAAAGTCCATAAAAAATGACTATTTGTGCTAAATATTATTGAATAATAAAATGAAATGAAAATTATTCTCTTTTTTAAAATTATAATCTAGATGTCGAACGACTCTACTTGACTGATCCTCATGAATCGGAAACTCATCAAGACATTTCGGAATCAACTACAAGAAGTCCACATTAATATACTATAATGAACAATAATAATAAATCATGAAAGTAATTTCTGATTATTCTATGTTATTCCACAAGTTTATATCATAACTGATTATCATATTGGATAAATTAACCATGTAAAATATTACTAATGAAAGAATAATATCAGTAATATGATTTATCTTTTATTATCAGTAAAACATTTCTTAGTCAGTCTATCATATCAACATATGTGGGGAATGTGGAATTTATAGAAAGTTTAACATATATACATACATATCTACTTACTTACTTAGGCCTGTTACCACTCGTGGAGGAGCATAGGCCACCTACCATTATTCTCCATCAAACCCTTTCATAGGAAATCCTCTCCTATCCTTTCTAGTTGCTATTCATCCTGTTGATGTCTCCCTCCGATCCTAGACACAATCTGTTCTTTGGTATTCCTCTCTTCTGCTTCCTTTCAGGATTACAAGTTGATGCATACCTCATGATATAGTTTGATAATTTCCACAACATATGGCCTATCTACTTCCATCGTTTTGTCCTAACTTCCACTTCAACTCTGTTATAACTTGTGACTGCCGATTAGAGAGTAGTGACTTATCGATCGAATCAATGACGCGTAAAACACGTGCGAGCAGCCTACAGTCCTTATTGGTTCTGCTTTCCACCTAGCCCAGACAGTTAAGTCC